CCGATCAATCGGATCCATAAGGGGTATTCGTAGCCATTCGTATCTCAACTAACAATAAGAATCATATATTAGTGCTATATATGTGTGTATGGATATTATAATGACGTATTTTATTAAATGAAATTATAAATTACATATAAATTTTCAATGAAACTATATCAGTCTTATGTATTACATTAGAATATATGTATAGTTGATATCACCAATATTATCACCGTGCCAGAAACTAGAAAATGACTAGTTCTAGATGAGCTTGTGAAAATTATACCAGTATAGTCCTATTATAATATATATGTACCGATACAAATTTTAGACTTGCCACTGAGTAATATTTTCACTTTGCCCGAAACCAAAAAAGGACTAGTTCTAGACATAACATTTGCCAGAAACTAGAAAATGACTAGTTCTAGATGAGCTTGTGAAAATTGTACGAGTATAGTCCTATTATAATATTTGTACTAATACAAATTTTAGACTTGCCACTGAGTAATATTTTCACTGTGCCAGAACTAGAAAAGGACTAGTTCTAGACATAACATTTGCCAGAAACTAGAAAAGGACTAGTTCTAGACGAGCTTGTGAAAATTGTACCAGTATAGTGCAATTATAATATATGTACTGATACAAATTTTTGACTTGCCACTCAGTAATATTTTCACCGTGCCAGAAACTAGAAAAGGACTAGTTCTAGACATAACATTTGCCAGAAACTAGAAAAGGACTAGTTCTAGACGAGCTTGTGAAAATTGTACCAGTATATATAGTGCAATTATAATATATGTACTGATACAAATTTTAGACTTGCCACTGAGTAATATTTTCATTGTGCCAGAAACTAGAAAAGGACTAGTTCTAGACATAACATTTACCAGAAACTAGAAAAGGACTAGTTCTAGACGAGCTTGTGAAAATTGTACCAGTATAGTTCTAGACGTAGTCTCAAATTACTATATACACTGATTTATTATTTAATACATTATAACAAATATTAGTGAATTAATTATTTTTATTAATATTTATTTAGTATGACTATATCAACTATCTTAATAACAATTAAGATCAGTTGCATATTAATATTAAAAATTTTCTAAATATTGAGATTGACATAAAAAAATAAGTACACATGTAATCACAAAAAGAATAAAAATTTAATTAAATTTCTAACCTCTTTAAAGGACACAACGAATTAAAATCAGCAACAACACTTAATAATTTTATCTAATTGAATTTGCTTTTTTGTAGTGTGTTGAATATGATGTTGGAGGTATTTAAAGAGGTAAGAATTGTGGTTGGATAGTGAACCACCGCACAAAATAAATTTTTGGGTTGAGATAATTTTAATATGATCTAAGGGTTGAAAATAAGAAGAGGAAAGCACAATCCGTGTGGTATTCATTTGGCCAATCAGAGAGCTGTTTCGTGGAGCTGATTGGATGGAGCTGGTGGTCGGAAATTTGGATTACATACATCCGACTTTATTTTTTTTTCATGCTGGCATGCATGATAATGGTTAGCCTCTGTCACATGCACCAGGCATCTGACTTTATTTTTTTTTCAAATTGGACTTCTGCTTTTCGGATTAAAGGAATCCGACTTCTCCTTCTGACAATTCTGATCCGACATTTCCGTCGAAATTGGAAAACCCCACAAAACCTACAAAAAACCCTACAAAAGTCGGATTAGCCAACCCCGTTTCTCGTAAACTCATACCCTAACTCTGACATTCGTATTTTGGGAATGGATGCATGGAATTCCTTTAAATCTGTCCTTTCCTCTATATTTAATCTATCTATCAGATATAAGAGCGAGTAGGGTTGGTGCTCTTAGCAGGTTAGGAGGAATAAATGATATTTTTTTAAGAAAATAAATAAAATCAATATGACACATTGACATATTGACAGAATCAATAATGCTTCTAAATGATGACTGATTTTAAATAATTATGAATGAAATGAGACACATAATAAATTTGTCTTGTGTATTAAAATGATGGCTTCTTTTAGATAAATATATATGCGGTAGACTAATTCGGTCAGTAACTCTAAGCTCTGAATTTATTTTGTGTAATAAGCCAATATATTATCAATTAATAAATATTTAACCATAAATAAGTAAACAACTTTTAACACAGTTAAAAATGAAAACAAAACAATTATTAAGAAAAGAAACTCTATCGTACCTATGGTCATACCACATGTAGTAATTAATTTAACAGTTGTGTAATGATAATTATTCTTACTCATTGACTTGGGTAATATAATGGAACATTACAAGACCGAGTTTGTGGGTCATTCTTCCAATTTTGAGTGTTCTATTTAATAAAAATTAATTTGGATGCATATACCTGATTTTTTCTTTTTGACCTCCACATTCCTATATAACTACGTTTGTGTTAAAGGAAATTACTTGTAGTATGCTGTCATTATAGATAGAATATTCACTAATATTATGTACTGAATAGTTTCACGCCTCCATTCCGCCTTCCCCATCGATCACTTTTTCGTTTTTTTTGCGCAAAGAAAACAGAGCTCTGCTCAAACTCATTCAATCTCCTCTATTTCACAAAGCCAGGCAATTGGAATTATATAGCCTTCTGCCTCAATCCACAAAACAACGAACAAAGGAGAGCCGCACAACGTTGGAACTAGTCTTCTGCTTCAATCAACAAAGCACCAAAGTTGTAACACCGAACCTGAATTTTACCCAGAGATTTTTTTTTCATCAAGTACATGGTTAACGAAGGTAAATCAAGACTATAGTAGCCTTGATAAATGAGAAAGATAAAATTATTGTCTTAAATTAATAAAGGATTATTCACTAGTGCAAAATCGTTAATCAGAGGCGCTTCAAATGGCTCACGTGCGGCGCTTTGAAGCGCCTCTAAAAAATGTGCCGCAAATCTCAATTGGAGGCGCTTTTTAGACTGGAAGCGCCTCTAATATTTTTAAAAAAAAATTCAGAAGTTTGCGGCGCTTCTGACAGTAAAAGCGCCGCACGCGTGATTGAAATAGAGGCCCTTCTGACGAAAAAAGCGCCTCCAAAATGTGCTACGTAAACTGAATTAGAGGCGCTTCTGACGAAAAAAGCGTCTCCAAAATGTGCTACGTAAACTGAATTAGAGACGCTTCTAACCTTAAAAACGCCTCCAAACTTGGCTACGTATTCTAATTTAGAGGCGCTTTTATCATAAAAAGCGCCTCCAAATTTCATTATTATTTTTTATATATTTTTTTAAAATACTATATAACCTGTTTTATTTACAGATCCATTGTCAACCAATTCAAAAAAAACACATTCATTCATTCATAAAACCAGAATAACGATAAAACCGTTTCACACAAATTCAATTCAAAAGGTACAAATTTGTATCACATTATAATAAAACACATTCAAGTTTGGCTCAATTCTAATGTCATAACACTTCATCTACAAAAAACCTAGCCCATACTTTTCTAATGTCATCAAACTCCTCCGTTGTATATGGCTCAGTTCTTGCATTCCAAACCTGAAAGTAATCATACAAATATAGATAAAATAAGTAATGATAAACTAAATTATACTATCGTATATAAGTAAAATGATTTAATGAAATCCACCTAATGAAGTATATATAATTAAAATACCTGTGCAATATCTGAACTTCCAACAGAAGTTATTATTTCCCAAATAAACTTCATCACATAATATCCACATTCTGTGTTGCCCGTTTTGTCTTGCACACTATATATTAGACGACAAATATACATTATTATTTTATAATATGATATTTTTTACATTAAAGCATAACTTATGTAAATAAGAGAAGATATATGACGAAAGTACCTTCATATTATGTCATTTGATCGGCTTGCCACGACCCTTTTGTGTAGACGCAATTCTATACATCCTATAATGATAATTAAGCTCAATGTATATATATATATATATATATGCTCAATGTTGACATACAAGTTTCATTTTCATTTCATTTTCATTTACCCCAGTGCCGCAAAGGCTCCCACCTACGGTGAGGTAAGGGGGGGTCGGATGTACGCAGTCTTAATCAGACACGGGACCCACATCAGGAGCGGGGACCACCCGTGGTATTCTTAGTGTATAAAAAAATTAATGTTGATCTAAACAATACTATTTTGATAGTAGGAATGGGTCGTGGACCCCAGTGATATATAGAATGACAACTAGACGGCCACGTGGATCGGGGCCACTAATCGATAATTGTGAGCCCTTAATTCTCGGACTATTAATAATTCGAAAGACTGTGAATTAATGGCAGAAGAAATATAAATATTTTAAGAATCCAAAACAATTGGTTGATATATATATGATTAATTTGGTACATTAAAGGAAGGTACTTTTGGAGGACTCTACCTTAAAGATATTTTGGTTTGGGAACAAACAGATAAGATTTTATCTGTTCATGCATTTTGGACCACTTAAAAAGAAGTGTAACATTTTATTAAAGTGTCAAAAAATATGAAACAACATATTGAGTCATGAGAAATGACGAATGAAATTACGAAACAGCACGTTCCCATTTTTACTGTTATTTTAACAGTAAAATGCACGTTGGGCCCGCACCGAGAGCGGGGACCAACCGATATTTCCGGGACCACATATTATATTCATCTTGCTCTAGATGATATTTATATGATGGTGTAAATTAATGTTAAGCCCTAGAGTTGGCCTATTGAGCAAACGAAGTCCCATTACCAGTATTAGTTATTTAACAGATAACAGCCCGAAATATGTTCCGAGAATCACGAAATTAAAGTTGGATAATATATATTCATTCTAGGGGCCAATATTAATTAAAAGAATGATATATATTTTATTTGGCCTGATAAAATAAAATTTAATTAAAACAGCACGAAAAATACAACTTTCGAAGTCGGTTTTACACTTTGGGACTTAAAGGGATGACCTCCCACATGAGTGGGGGCCACCCCACGAAATTATGCACATAATATCTGACTTTGGGGCTGCAAATACATGGGAGAATGCATGATGTGGATGAAGAGATGGGTGAGACACAAATGATAGGTGGGGGGACCCTCCTCCACATTATTTGAGGTGTTCACAAAGGAATCATCCTCTCACACACACCCTCACCATAATTTCGGCCAGCACACCAAGGAGAGAGAGGAGAGCCTCTACAATTCACCATCCTCCATTGTTGAAGCAAGCTCAAACCAAGGAAGCTCCAAGGAAGAAGAAAGAGTGAGAAAAGAAGAGAAAAACTTAGAAAATCAAGGTAATGATCTCATTAGTATTTTTCTTCCTTCATTTAATCTCATATGATTTTATAAATCATATGACGACCCATAATATTGTTCTACACTCCTAGAGGTGTAGAATGAGGGGTTGGAAGGATAGTTTTAACCATGAACGAAGTTATGACCGGAGTAAGATCGGTTCGCCGGAAAACACCTTCTCGGAGGGTTTGATGTTTATGCCACTTTTGGTTGTGAAAACTTGTTAGGAATTTTACCAAAGTATTCTAGACTTTTCAAGGAATCTAGGAGTGACCGGAAAAGTCGCCGGAGCCACCGGAGTTTTCGCCGGAAAATTCCAAAAGTCGCCGGAGTTCAAACGAAGAGGATAAAAGCTTGCTAGCAACATTTCGAGGTGAGTGGACGACTACGTGTCTTGTAACTCTTGGGTCAAACGTGGGATTACCTAAATAAAATCCTTATCATAATTTGAGAAATGATTAAATGGATTAAAATGCATGATTAGTCATGGTGAATATGAATTATGGAAATATTACATGATTAATGAATAAGAGATTTATTTGTGGATTAATCATGAATATATTATTGTCAAATGTATGAAAATGCATACATGGACTATGTATGAGATAACTAGAGTAATCTAGTATGTGAATATGTATAGAAATGTTTAAATGTGTTTAAACATGTGATTAGCTATAATGATTATAAGTTATGTGAAAATGGCATGATTAATGAGTAAAAGAATTATTAATATTTTTGATGAAGGATAATCATGAATGATTTAGTTGGACATTAACTAAGGTAATTCAAGATGGTATTCTTGAAGGATTCAAGCACTTAATCATACATGTCATTAAATTAAATCTAGTTGTGAAGAATAAACTAGAACGAAATATATAAACGATTAATAAGTATGAAGTACCTATTAATAGTTGTGTGAAGACAGCTTTATGCTTTATAACTTTTGAGTGAGACATGAGATTACTTAAAGTAATCAAGAATATATTTTATGGAATGATTAAAGATAATCAAGTATGTGTTATTCCATGATTATATGAAAAATATAGTTGAAAAGCATGTTGAGTAGGCTTGATGATTAAAAATGTGATAATTAATTATGTATGATGTTCCAAGGACCCAAAAGGGCATTTTTGGATTAAGGACGTCAAGAAGTACATGTGTATAAAATTTCACGTTAATCGGAACCTTCGTTTGGGCGGTCAAACGGGCGTTGACCGCCAAGACAAAAGTAATACCCGACCGGGTATTGGTTAAAAATGGTTCCAGGAGCCACTGCCACACTAGACCCGACCGGGTATGGGTATAGACCCGACCGGGTATTAGTTAAAAACAGTCCCAAGGGCTACTGGCTCACCCTACCCGACCGGGTATGGGTAATACCCGACCGGGTATTGGGTTTTACACCCAATATGCAGTTTTTGAGTAAGTTTACGTGGTCCGTTCGAGTGGGACCCGTCCACGTTGGTTGCTAAGGCTTCGAATATGGTTTAACCGCTAAGACTTGGACTAGTCGTTAGTAAAGAAATTATAGACCATGACCGGGTGAGGTAAGTGGTAGATTATACATGACGGGTGAATACTCGGGACCGAGTAAGGTCAGGTAAAACTCTGTAGGACCAGGATGAGTCCTTTATACTCAAATGTTAACAAGGGCCCGTGTAGTCCTTGAGGTGTGTTAACCTCCAGCAAATTACACATAGGTAACAAGGGCAAATGCAGTCCTTGAGGTGTGTTAACCTCCATCAAAGTGCATATACGTAACAAGGGCCCGTGTAGTCCTTGAGGTGTGTTAACCTCCAGCAAATTACACATAGGTAACAAGGGCAAATGCAGTCCTTGAGGTGTGTTAACCTCCATCAAATTGCATATAGGTAACAAGGGCCGTGTAGTCCTTGAGGTGTGTTAATCTCCAGCAAATTACACATAGGTAACAAGGGCAAGTGCAGTCCTTGAGGTGTGTTAACCTCCATCAAATTGCATATAGGTAACAAGGGCCCGTGTAGTCCTTGAGGTGTGTTAACCTCCAGCAAATTACACATAGGATAAGGGTGTATGCGTACTCCTCAAGGCGGGGTTAGCCCCGGGAATGTAAATTACTTGAGGTAGGTGAACCTCAAGTAATGATTTTAGATGATTAAACATGTGTGATCGGGAATAAGTTCCCGATAGGGTATTTTCCTTGGTCTAGGAATTTAATTTAAATCATGACTGTGATATGGGAGCCCGAAGGGCCCCCGAAATAATTATCTTTGTTATCGGGTGAGTTAGCCTGCGGGTGACTTCACTCGAGGGTAGGACATGGGAAGGGTGAATTTAACGAGGCTATTACGCCTAAATGATTTGAAAGACAAATGGGCCCACGGGCCAGATATTTTACTCATATGTATATACGTATACGATATGTTTTGAAAAGGGGTAGCCAAGAGTTATGCCTATATATATACTATCACCCTATGTTGAGGGTCCCATGTGAGAAACGTTAGTTATATTACATACAGTTTGCCCTCACCAGTACTTTTCTGTAGTACTGATCCCTCGGGGGAACCACCCTTTCAGGTTGAAGCTAGAGCTTACTTCCTGCACCCGTTGTTCGGGAGATCGATGGAGAGAAGACGTGGTTCGTGCTTCCTCTGGTTCTATTTCTAAATAATTAAATAATGCTCATGGAACTATTTTTGACTTATAAATTAATGGAGCCTGCGAGCTCTTGTTTTACCCTTGTGTGGGTTCTTATTAAACACTTATATTCCGCTATGTGTTTAATTGTATGTTGATGTTGTTATGTATGTTTACTAATCGGTTTTGGCATATGTATCTATCGGACGTCTTGTGCAATTTAGTAAGGATGAATTGCGGTTATTCTTATTGGGTTGTACGACGGTTGTCTACGTGGCACAGACACGGTCTGGGGCGTGACAAAAGTAGCCCGCCGCAGCAAGGTAGAAATCCCTCGTTCCAGGCGCCATCTCCTACACGGCAGCAAGCTTCTTGCCCAATCTCACGGCTCTGAATTTTTAAGGTATTTATTTTTAACTCAAAATCTTTGCAGAATCTTATGTACATGATTTATTGCATTATGTTTGTCATTGTGTTAAACATCATTGATTTTGTTTTTGAGATTAAGTTGTCATTTTTTTTATTGCACACCAAGTGTTTGATGTTATGCCTCATTTTTTTTTGGAGATAGATGTAATTTTTGAGTATAATTCCGTAATGCTATATGTTATAATCATATAGTTGGAATCAATATCATATTATGCATCCGTCTCCCTTTTATACATCCATGTGATCATTTTTCCGTAAAGCTATATGCCATATACATATAGTTGGAATCAAAGATCACACGAATTAATCTTATTTTCATGCATTTTATATGATTATACTTTCCGTAAAGCTATATGTTATACATATATAGTTGGAATTAAGATCATATTATGCATTTTTTTATACATATTATGTGATTATATTTTTCCGTAATGCTATATGTCACTTACATATAGTTGGAACCATAATCACATAAGATTACTATATTTTATACTCATAAATTATCTCTAGGGCAAAAATACATGTTTAATTTCCCGTAAATCTATATGTTATACTTATATAGTTGGAATTCATGTAGTCCTATTTTTAAACATTTTTTTAGAATACACTGACATGTTTATATTTCTGTAATTCTATATGTCATATACATATAGTTGGAATAACAATCATGCAGTCATATTCTTACTTGTCATATAAATAACCTAAATTAAAGTCTACTTTCTGGAAAACAAAATCCATTTATTGTCATACTAATAATTCTAAATGAATTTGGCAATTTTTTTAGTATTTTTTATAACATACTTCGAAATTTCATAACAATTTTTTTTAGTGTTATATATTCTATTTTTTTTTTAATACGGAGTATGTGTTCAAGTATTTAACAAAAAAAAGATAATCTTGTTATTCGACTAACTATCATTACATGTTTGAATTAGCATTAATGGACATTCTATATACGTTATATGTTGTACTCCGTATACTACATATGTTAATGCATATATTAGGAACATCTAATCATTACCTCAATGCTCTCATAATTTATTATGGAGTGTGTAGCAAATTACCATATATAACTGAGCATGACATAAGTAAAGTTTTTTTTTCCATTCTTGAAAATTTACGGTACACCTACATTGTTTTTAAATCTTGAAACTATTTTGTCCTAAACAATAAATTCCAAATATAATACACTTTACACTGTTCATGGTTAATGTATGTATCATAGTAGAACCATAACCATACGTGTTCATGATATCTTCCTGTATCTTATGCATGGTATTATTCTGTAATGCATACACATCATCCGCCTATATGTATTTTTTTAACATATATGCATATTAGATTACTAATATATTATTAAATTTGTTTTTACAAACTAATTTTGGATAATTAAAATTCGATAATTAATTATTTTTATAAATCGAAGTTTGTTAAAAAAAATCAAAAATTTGTCAAAATATACTATTTAAGTTCGAAAAAAAACCGATAATTATATTTCATTTTTAGATCCATTTTTTTATAATTAAAATATATGGCAAAATATTTTTTCAATAATTCGACAATATAAATAATATTACTAAAAGGATTATTAAATTCGTCCTTTTTTTTCAAAAAAAAGGAGATATACCTAACCCATTCATTAGACCAATATTAATGTTTTCTATATGAAACACACCATATAACATCTGATAAAAATCTCTATGATTTTTTTATTAAGGAGATGAACATATATCTCCTCTCTTCGATGCATTATAAAATATTGTCTACAAAGAGACATACCCCCCATGACATTTTTTTTATGTGATAAAGAATTTTCACACAAAGAATCGCATTTTTTATTCATTTTTTTAGCGATAAATGGTAGTGAATAACACTCATACAATTTTATATTTTAAGATGACTGATCCAACTCGATCCGAGTTTGACATCCTGGACTCAGAAGGACTTGAGTACCATCGCTGGGTTTCTGACATAGAAACCACTTTTGTGGCTAAAGACTATTCCGCCACACTTGCCGACCCTGAAAGTTTAAAAGATAATGCACCGTCTGAAAAAATAAAGGCTGCTGCGTTAATGTTCCTTAGACGCCATATTGACCCTAGCTTACGTTGGGAATACTTACAATTGAAAACCCTCAAAGAACTGTGGGACGCACTAAAATGTCGTTTTGGGAACATACATGACACATTGATCCCCGAACTGACAGTGCAATGGAATGAAATCCGCTTAGTCGACTACAAAAAGATCAACGATTTTAATAAGGACATGTTATGTCTCAAAGCGCGCCTTAATTTCTGTGGTAAACCAATCACAGAAGATGAAATGATTGATAAGACCCTCTCCACTTTCCCTACCTCAGCACTTATACTAGCGAACCAGTATAGGTTGGAGCATAATAACAAAAGAATAACCACATTTAATCAGTTAATTAATTTGCTCCAAGTTGCTGAAAGACAAAATCAAGTTCTCTTGAATAACAATGCCAGACCAGTTGGGACAAAGAAAATTCCCGAGGTCAACTATGGCAAAGCAAACACTGGAAAGCACCCTAGTGGAAGAGGAGAGGGTCGTACTCGTGGAAGGGGGCGCAACAATCATGGCGGGCGTGGAGGCCGAGGTACGGGACGTGGAGGATTTTCCAAAGTGTGGAAGAGAGATACAAGAGGCGGGACCAGTGGTCAAACTAACAAGGCCCATAATGCACCATCAAAACCTCCAGTCAAACGAGACCGAGTTGGGGAAGAACCATGCTACAGATGCGGAGTTTCAGGTCATCGGTATAAGAATTGCCAAGCCAGTAATAGAGTTGTTGCTGCCTACAAGAAATACAGAGAATCAAAGGAACATGAATCTCAATTTGTGACAGACGAAGGAAATGAGGTTGATGTTAACCTCACAGTGGCGGATTTTGGTGTTAAAAATAACATCACCCATTCAGTCGATGCACCGGACTTTGATTAATTTTCCCCCTATCCCACCAGACAATTTAAACAAACTTTATGTTTTTCCCATTCCTTTTAATTTCCTGCTTATGGACATTACATGCTTATCGTTATTTTAATAATTGGATTCAATTTTTGAAATCCAAATATATACCAACAATTATCTAATGCATGTTTACACAGGAATGACCCGAGGAGAACTCGAATGTTTAGTTGATAGTGGGACAACCCACACTATCCTGAGACATAGGAAACTTTTTATTCAATTAGTAGCCTATAAATCCTCTGTGACTACGATGATTGGATCATCGAACGTAATACAAGGGCGAGGCACCGCCAAATTTATGCTACCTAACGGTACTACATTCCACGTCACAGACGCTCTATATGCACCTAGAGCTACTCGAACTTTATTAAGTTTTAAAGATATACGGGATAATGGTTTCCACGTTGAAACTCATAGTGAGGATGAGATAGAATACCTATATATTACCTCTAGTAAAAGCGGAAGAAAACGCATATTAGAAAAATTAATGAGTCAATCTAGTGGACTCTATGTCACTACTATTCGAATCTTCGAATCATATGCGGTCTCCAACAATGAAATGTTGGACATAGACTCGTATAGGGTTTGGCATGATCGTCTTGGTCACCCCGGTCGTGACATGATGATTCGAATTCTCAAGAATTCACATGGACACCCTTTCTTTCGAGAAAGGGATAAAGAAGGGCGAAAAGTCAACAGAGTACAAACTGTTAACCATGCGGCTCCTCCACAAGGACAATTATCTTCTAAAGCACAAGAAGAACTAGCCCATGCTTCCCTAACTATGTCCACATTACAAAACTCATTTTGCAAAGCCTGCTCCTTAGCAAAAATAGGATCGAGACCATCCTATTCTAAAGACACAAAACAAAACATCCCATTCTTACAAAGAATTCAAGGAGATATGTGGACCGATCCATCCAGAATGTGGACCATTTATATACTTTATGGTTCTGGTGGACGCATCGACCCGTTGGTCGCATGTTACCTTATTGTCCACAAGAAATGCTGCATTTGCAAAACTCCTAGCACAAATAATTCGCTTAAGGGCCCATCACCCCAATCATCCTATAAAGTCTATTAGACTTGATAACGCTGGAGAGTTTACATCAAAGACATTTGATGACTATTGCATGTCTATCGGGATTGGCATAGAGCATCTTGTTCCCCATGTACACACACAAAATGGTCTCGCAGAAGCTACTATTAAAAGATTACAAACAATAGCTAGGGCATTGGTTATGCGCACCAACTTGCCTATATCTGCATGGGGATATGCAATATTACATGAAGCCTTACTTATTCGCTTTCAGCCCACTGCGAACCAACCATTTTCTGCATACCAGTTGGTAACTGGATATGAGCCTGACATTTCACACTTACGCATATTTGGTTCTGCAGTCTATGTGCCAATTGCGCCACCACAGCGCACCAAAATGGGTCCTCAAAGGCGATTAGGTATATACGTTGGATACGAATCCCAAACAATAATCCGCTATCTAGAACCTTTGACAGGCGATCTTTTCACCGCAAGATTTGCGGATTGTCACTTTGATGAGACAACATTCCCGTCATTAGGGGGAGATAAGAAAAATGATTTTTCCGAAGAACGACGTGAATTATCCTGGTGTATTCCTACACTGTCTCATTTTGATCCCTGCACCTCACATTGTGAAAGTGAAGTGAAAAGAATAATAGACCTACAAAGTGTAGTAGACTCAATACCCGATGCATTTTCTGATATTGCGAAAGTGACAAGATCACACGTACCAGCTGCAAATGTGCCTGCAAGGTTAGAAGTCCCCAAGGGAGGGCACCGTGCCATAGTAGGAGGCACTGCAACCACACTTAGTGGAGGTGTGGTTGAGGCCGTGGCTCCTCAAAGGAAGAGAGGAAGACCACTCGGTTCGATTGATACTCGTCCAAGGAAGAAGAGGACGAGTACGGCACAACCTAATCCATTAATCATCGATGAACAACATCTATCCCATGAGATTATCACCGATTATAGTTATGTCCATGAATCATTACTGGAGGACGCTCCGATGATCGAAATGATTCTAGAAAACAAGGAAATCTCTATGGATTATGAAAATGCACATGTGCTAATGGAAAGATCTTCCACACACATCGATGATATATTTGCATTTACAGTTGCTCAAGAAATTATAGAGCATGATGATATCGAAACTCGCTCTGTGGTAGAATGCCAACAAAGAGCTGATTGGCCTTAATGGAAAGAAGCAATCTAGGTTGAATTAGATTCCCTGACAAAAAGGCAGGTATTTGGTCCGGTAGTGCTAACCCCACCAAGTGTAAAGCCTGTAGGACATAAATGGGTATTTGTCAGAAAGTGTAATGAGAAGAATGAAGTCTTAAGGTACAAGGCTCGCCTAGTGGTGCAAGGTTTCTCACAACGCCCTGGGATTGACTACGAGGAGACCTACTCTCCCATAATGGACGTTATCACGTTCCGATACCTAGTCAGCTTAGCAGTTTCTGAAGGATTGGAAATGCAATTGATGGATGTGGTTACTGCGTATCTCTATGGGGATCTTGATTCAGAGATATATATGAAAGTACCATGGGATTGACTACGAGGAGACCTACTCTCCCGTAATGGACGTTATCACGTTCCGATACCTAGTCAGCTTAGCAGTTTCTGAAGGATTGGAAATGCAATTGATGGATGTGGTTACTGCGTATCTCTATGGGGATCTTGATTCAGAGATATATATGAAAGTACCCGATGGACTTTCACTGCCTAAATCAAGTGACTCTAAACCACGGAGTGCGTTTGCAATAAAATTGAAACGCTCACTTTACGGATTAAAACAATCCGGGCGGATGTGGTATACCCGCCTAAGTGACTACTTGATTAGGAAGGGATACAAGAACGATGAGCTTTGCCCCTGCGTATTCATAAAGAAAACGAGTTCCGGATTTGCAATCATAGCTGTATATGTCGACGACATGAACATAATCAGCACTCTTGACGAAATAAGAGAAACCGCTAGCTATTTGAAATCCGAGATTGAGATGAAAGACCTTGGGAAAACTCGATTTTGTATAGGCCTTGAATTAGAACATCGAGTTTGTGGAGTATTAATCCACCAGTCTGCGTATATCCAAAAGGTACTCAGGCGATTTAACATGGATAAAGCGCACCCTGTTAGCACTCCCATGGTGGGCCGAAGTCTAGATCCTAAAAAGGATCCATTTCGTCCAAAGGAAGATGACGAGGAGGCATTAGGAGCTGAAATTCCATACCTAAGTGCAATAGGCGCATTATTGTACTTAGCACAATGCACTCGGCCCGATATAGCATTCTCAGTGAACTTGTTATCTAGATTTAGCTCTGCGCCTACGCAGCGTCATTGGAACGGTATCAAGAATATCTTTAGATATCTTAAAGGGACCAGTGACTTGGGACTGTTCTTTCCCTACGGAGAGACGAAGGAAACCACAAATGGAGTTGTGATCACAAAGGACAAAATGGTCACCCCCTGAAAACCCCAAATGATGTCTTGGTAGGTTTTGCTGATGTTGGGTACCTCTCCGACCCTCACAAAGGTCGTTCCCAAACTGGCTATGTTTTCACAATCGGGAACACGGCGATATCCTGGAGATCAACTAAGCAAACCCTTGTGGCTACCTCCTCGAACCACTCAGAGATCATTGCTCTACATGAGGCGGTCCGTGAGTGTATATGGTTAAGAGCTATCATTGCACACATTCGAGGACCTAGTGGTTTAAAGCCTACCACTGAAGAGTCAACCTGCATCTACGAGGATAATGCAGCCTGTATCGAACAAATGAATTAGGATACATCAAGGGTGACAACACAAAACATATATCTCCTAAGTTCTTCTATAATCAGCAACAACAGACCTTCCTCAAGATCCAAGTAAATCAAATAAGTTCGGAAGAAAACGTAGCAGACCTGTTTACCAAGTCATTGCCCAAGGCCACATTCAAAAAACATGTGAAAAACATTGGAATGTGTAAGTTTTCTGAAATCCCCTGATTAATGTAAATATCAGGGGGAGGTGTAGACTTCAGGGGGAGTCTTACACCCTCATGTTATACTCTTTTCCTTAAACCAAGCTTTATTTTTTCCCCCATTGGGTTTTTGTTACTTGGTAAGGTTTTTAACGAGGTAACTGTGAGTATCGATCAAAGTAAAGAATCCAAAAGGACTCAATGAACGAAGTCCAATAAACTCTAATCTCTCGTCAAGGTTTATTTTTCCCACAGGTTTTTTTTGTTACTTGACGAAGATTCCACAAGGCAACAGGGAGTGCAACATTCTATCTACAACTCTGCAGAAGGGGGAGTGTTAAAGGAAATTACTTGTAGTGTGCTGTCATTATAGATAGAATATTCACTAATATTATGTACTGAGCTAATGAGCCCGAGAAGCCCAACCCTTGTATAAACCTAATTCTCCTCTATTTAAAGAGGGTCTACCTATTGGAATAATACACATCTCTCACTTCCCTACAACAGCTTGTTTCATTTACTAGTATTTTTTAATTGGATCTTATCATTTTAATTATATAATCATGTATATAAAATGATACTTAATATAGTTCTTGTGCAAACTTGTGTTTACATTAACATTGATAAATAGCATTCATCTGAATTCTATAGATTTATGCAAATCAATAGAATTCATTCATAAAAAGTCTATGGGTTTAAAAGTCTATGCACTTTTTTGTCTCAATTTTTTTTGTGATGGTACTGAAATGTAATTCACGATTTCACATTGCTACAAATGTAATATCAGCTAACTGCAAATGTAACTTATGCATTGGAGCGTAACTCATGTTACTCCCTCATATGATTATTCTCACACCTTTCATATATAAAATGTAAATTGCGTAAATGCAAAATGTAACTTCAGGCAAGCCGCGTGTATGCATTTGTAAAACGTGACATGCTGAGCTAGGGAAGTCAAATAAAATGTAAATCGCGTTAATTGAAATGTAACTTGAGACAAGTCCAAATGTAAATAGCATTAATAGAAATATAATTAGAGACAAGTTGAAATGTAAATGAAGTTAATGGAAATGTAAGTTGAGATAAGTCGAAATGTAAATTAGGTTAAGTGGAAATGTAACTTGAGCCAAGTCGAAATGTAAGCTCTCTAGTACGTAGTATTAGATATATACCTTGAAGGAATGTTGTAGAAATTTTATTTGATATTAATAAACTTCAATTTTTAATTGATGGGTAGAGAAAAAACCTATGTTTATTTTGAAGACGGAGGAAAACAAAGTTGTGGTTAGATTTTGAATATTTTGATGAAGGAGAAGAAGATAATTGAAGAGGAAAAGAAAAAAGAAGAAGAAAACCGGGGAAAGAGATGACTAGAGCGAGTGACAAAGAAGAGAATAGATGGCTCGAGAAGAAGGTTTATTTGTTGAGTTTCTTAATCAAAGAAACAGTACTATATTGGGACCGGTGTACCATGCGCATTGTATAGCAGTCCCACGATAGAAGTTGCGGTGAGAGACGAATGTATAAAACCAATGTTCTAAAACTCGCTCTAGGCGCCCGACTAGTCCCCATCTAGGCGCTAGCGGTGGCCGGGTGTCATGATTTTAGTCTAGGCGTTCCGACTAATTGGTTTGGTGCCTAGGTGAATTAGTTGACTGCCTAGGGTGCCTAGTTGCCCTCCCAGAGCGCTTAATCGGCCGCTTAGGGCGTCTAGATTCGCTGAACATGTTTTTACTTAAATATTTTAGTTTCCTAAAAGATATATGTACCATCAACTTTAACAACACATGAAAAAAGCTACTAGTTCTAGATTAATATAAAAACTATACATGCCTGTATATAATCTAAAATGTTATTATTATTTTATAATATTTATTACATAATGGAGTTAACTGAGTAGGTATAATATATTATTAAATGTGACAATCTATCATTCATGCATGTTAATGTGTATGTGTGTGTATATATTTGATAGATAGTGATACTGGGGTACCACTAGGAGTATATATATTGTAGATAGTAGAGAGAGCTAGAGAGAGAAAGTGAGAATGTATATTAATTAACCATCCATTACAAAGCTTCAAAGGGGGGTATATATAGGTGAAATGTTGGATGGGCTGCTATGCTGGGCCTAGCCGGCCCAATTACATAAAAGGGGGCTAATAGACTATGCAAACTTTAATCCGTGAAGGGGTGTTCTGAAGTGCCGAGGGCTCATGAACGAGGGGTACCGTCGAGGGCTGCGCAAGGACCTGCTGAGGGGTGTTGCTTAGGGGTCCCGCCGAGGGGGTGTTGTCAAAGGGTTACCGAGGGGTCCCGCTGAGGGCTTGCCGAGGGGTGCTGCTGAAGGGTCGCCGAGGGGTCCCACTGAGGGCCTGCAGAGGAGGCCCCATCGAGGGAATGTGTCTGGGTTGCATGAGTATGTGGGTCAGGGGGTCGTGAACCATGTACTCCATCAATATTTTTTTATACACAAAAACACAACATAACGCAACATTACTAATCATATTTATACAAAAACATTGATAAAGTTATAATTCATATGTCTCTGACTAGTCTCTGCCTAGATGTCTGCCTAGCCGCTAGGCGCTAGGTTGACGCCCGACTAGCGTCTAGCGTCTTTTAGAACATTGCGTAAAACCATTTAGAAGAATTGTCATTGACTATATAAATAACACAATGATGTTGAATGAAGTACTATGAATAAAATTAATAATTTTGTCATTTTTCTATTTTGCCTCATTTTATTACTACTTTTGTTTCACGCCATAAGAAAATTGATCATAGAGAGAAAGATAAAGAGCATAACAATAAGCCTCATTTTATTACTACTATGTGCAGTGATAGTGAAAAATTATTTAGACTATTTTATAAAAAAATTGTTGAGTATTATTTTATCAATAACTAAAAATTCAATATTCAGAAAATGACTGCTACCCAACATGATATCAACACCAATTTTTAAAAATGGAAACGTTAGAAGATGTAGAAATGGTAGAATTTGAATGTGACATAAAGGTATGCATTTTTTGCTCACTGCTTTGAAAGTGGTTAACGTTTTAAGCACTCAGAGGCCGCCCAAGAAAAAAGAAAATGAGCCTATGGAAACAAGCCGCCACTGCATAAAGTGGGACAACGACGACTACTTTTTCCGTTACCATATTATGAACGGTTCATTAAGGACAAGGAAAGAAAGTATGTAAACTTGTCAAGTCCTTAGAATGTTTTTACTTGCATTGAAATTTGTTGGTCTGGCCTGGTCTGATTTATTTAAGTCTAGTTTGGTTTGATGTGGTCTGATAAATGTCTAGTCTCTATGTATTTTAAAACTATAAAAGTTTGATTTGATCTGTTTAAGTCGGGTCTGATTTAGACTGAAAAACAGTCCAAGTAAAAACATCATTATATACCCTTCAAATATACATTTTTCGACCTATATTTTCTACCTATATGACTATATGTTGAAAACTCTCAAAAAATATAACAAAAATAATCGAAGCAACATCGTTTTTCCTAAAAAAAATCAGGCGACGTGTTTTGACCCAAATATTTTTTACCTATATTCTCTGCTGGTGTACTGAAATTTTAAAAAAATACAATGGAATTAATTGAAATGTTTTCTGCTAGGGGTGGATTCGGGCCGGGCCAACCGGCCCGGAACCGGACCGGCCCGCTACTGTGCGGGCCCGGACCAGCCCGGTGAACCGGTTGGTTGCCCGATCGGGCCACCCAGCCCGGTGGGATGGCGGTTCGGGCTCGGGCCCTTCAAAAGGTGAACCGGTCCGGGCCAATTTTTTTTTTTTTTTTGAATTTTTTTAAGTTTTTGGGTTGGGCTAGGTATTTTGGGCCATTTGAGGTGCTTAGGGTTGGTTTGGACCAGCCCGGTGAACCGGTTGGTTGGCCTGTTCGGGCCACCCGGCCCGGTGGGATGGTGGTTCGGGCTCGGGCCCTTCAAAAGGTGAACCGGTCCGGGCCAATTTTTTTTTTTTTTTTAATTTTTGGGTTGGGCTAGGTATTTTGGGCCATTTGAGGTGCTTAGGGTTGGTTTGGGGGTGAGGGGAAGGGTTGGGGGTTAATTAGGAAAAGCCAAAAAAAAACAAAAAAAAAAATTAGAACCGAGGCCCGGCCCTGACCCGGGGTTACCCGGGTCGGTTCCGGGCCTCCCCTTCATGAACCGAGGCCCGGACGGGCCCAGGCCTAAACCAGGCCCGAACCGGAACCGATCCATCCCTATTTTCTGCTGGTCTACTGAAATTTTAAAAAAATAAAATGGAATTAATTGAAATGTCAAAATGACACCGTTTTTGTTGAGACTTTACCTGCATTTTTCGACCTATATTTTCGACATATGTGCCGAAAATTTATTTACCTACATCATTTTGATATCGAACCATACTTTTCAACCCATTTATTTTCAACCTATATTTTCGATCTGTCAAAAAATTCAAAAAATAATGATAATAACTCATCCGAACTCAGAATTACGTCTTTTGGTTAATGGTTGTTAAACTCCACAGGAACAACAGGGAACAAAAACTTTGCAGGGGCCACCCCTCATCCCCTCGCAGTTGCGCTCCGCCAGAGCAACTTTGAGACCCTATCATAACCCCTCGTCTGAGGCTCTGAGCCCAGAGGTTTGCCAGAATTTACAACAATATTTACTGCTAGGAGGAGTTAGAGACCATGAAATTTAACCAGATAACTACGAAGTACAGAGTAATTAATTTGTTTCATTCTATATCTATCAGGGTACCAAAATGATGCAATACAGCAATAAAAAAGACAAGTTGTGCTATACGGTGGTATATGAACACTCTAAGATTGTCACTAAGACTCTACTTCAATGTTGCCCTTTACCTTCCTCTCTTCCCGGCAGGGGCCATATGCACGGCTGCAGAAGAAGAAAAGCAAAAGATTGACCAAACTCAATCCAGCAAGCACCCAATTGTAGTAGTCATAGTGACCCTTATTTATGTTGCTCGATATCCAGCTCCCACCTTCCCAACCTTTAGTAACCTCATTAACGAGGTTCATCAGAAGGCTCGCAAGCATACTTGCCACCGCCATTCCTAGTCCGAGAAAGTTGGAAGCTATGCTCCACATGCTTTGAGGGAACTCCGAAATGTAAAACCTGTTCTGCGCAACTGCGTTTATTCCTTCTGCAACCCCCCCGAGAAACGATTGGGGTATGATCCAGAGAATAGACATATCCACAATCCCCCCGGGAGTGTCGGAGAATCCCTCCTTTATTGCGAGGTTCCGCCGGAAAGCCTCCACCAAGGCGGATGCCACAACGCATAGGAAAGAGAGGAAGATTCCCGACCCCATTCTCGCCTTCGGGCTGAAATGGAGATGTCGTCTAATGATTCTGTCGTCCAACACGAGCCACGTTATGATGGAGACGTATGAGAAGATGCCTAACGAGCCAGTGGGGATTTGAAAGCTTGTAGATGATGATCCAATGTGGCGGTTCATGGTTGTCGCTTGAAGCGTGGAGAACGTGCCTTGGTTGACATTAATGTTCATTATAACTCCAGTGGCCCATATTGGGATTACCTTAAGGCATGCTTTAAGCTCCTCTACTTGTTCTATTGTACAAAGACTCCATGGATTTGATGCTTTCCCATCTGACTTTATGTCTTGTTGGGGATCTTCTATAATGCATGCCTTATTCAAAAACCTGTAACAATTATAAAATAAGCAGGTGTACACAGGTTTTGTTTAGTGGGGACTGCGGGGCAAACTCAAATATTGCCACATTATACTAGTCATTAAACCGATCAGACCAGTTCGTATCAGAATGTTTAGGTCCAAACTAACAACTAGAGGAGTGCAATTGAGATAATAGGCTCTATTTGGTATTCCATAGTTGATAACCTTATGAGCTAGATTTTCTTACTTGCCTACAACTCCTGAAGTTTTACTGAAGTTAAAATAGCAGTGCATGCCTTACTTGATTGCTGTATATGAAAAATGTCACTTTGATGTCACTTTCTTTAAATAACTAAAACAAAAACTAAAATATAATTATACTTGATATTTTTCAAATATTTCGAGCCAATCCACATTCTACCACGTAAGTCATAATATCAACATACTAGGCTCATTCAATCAATTAAGCTGGATCCACCTCCGCCCAAACAGGTTCTACAAGCTAAATAAATGAAAGAAGATCAGATGCTCGCTTAACGGTAACAAATGACTTTAATTAATTACCTTAGTGTTTCACTTGGGGGGCATATCATGGTACCTTGTTGATGGTATGCCACAAGATTTCCATTATCGGATGGTATCACGAGGTTCCTCTTTCTATAGAAAGCTACAATCACTTGAACTAAACCCGTGATTAAGCTTCCTTTGGGCTTTGACCTCACATAGAATGGGGAACCCAAGAGGATGAATATTGTAGCAAATAGCATAAGCAAAACAAGGATTCCAAAACCAATTTCCCATCCCATGTTCTCTTGGATATAAACCAAACAAGTCATGGAAACGAGAACGGATACCATGTTAACAGCATAATAACAGCCAAAGTAGCTTTCCATTGCTCTCCCATTCTTTTGGATATTCTTTAACTGATCAATTCCAAATGCCAAGGAAGAAGATTTTACTCCCCCCGAACCAATGGATACAAGGATAAAGGAGAGGTATAAAAGCAGAAGTTGGAGAACTGATGCAGAAGGGCAAATGGTGTTTGCTTCAGTGCAGGGAGGTGGCCTTGCTTGTGGTAGAATAGTTGTCAGCCAAAACAGAAGTATTCCCTGCCAAAAAACACATGAATTACTTCAAACAGATAAGAGATTTATCCCCTCCTTAAAAAAATCTTATTTCTGCTCCATAAACTATTCACTTCCTAGAAATAAAAATCAGAATCACTACCCATGTCTTACAAAGATGGATTTATAGTTATGTGTACACAGAGTACGAAATAATAGTTAGTGTGCTTATCACAATAAATTTGCCTCTATTGTCATTTGTCAATACCTGAATACCATATATTGGTATTGCCTCATTGGTTATATATGCTGCGTATTTAGTCTTGATAAAGTTCAATATTGGATTGGGGTCAGTAAAATGGGGTGAGATAATTGGAAAACCTATCAAAATAGTTTGTGAAGTATTATGAAAAAACGCATGTGTAATGTGTGAACGTTTGTAGGGATATGCAAGAATGTAATACACTACTGAATAAACAAAGTAAACTATATTTCATCAGAAGTGGGACTTTTAGAACCTGTACCCAATTGAACCATGTAGCAATACACTTGTGCCAAATCACACTAAAAGATAGAATCCTATTAATAAACTAGTTCAATCCATAGTATAATTAATTCATCATTTTATTTTACTCATCAATAGTCTTCTTGCATACTTTGGGTTTCATCTTAAAGTTTAACCCACTAAGAGGAGGGGTCTAATGTCCATATATTTAACAGTATGGTTTTTGCTCAGGTCCAATGTCCATATATTTAACAATATGGTTTATACTGTAATTAGTATTCAATGTGTCATTTATCTCTTGGGCTTTTTGTGTATAAAATGAAGTAGTGAATTGACAGAAAGGCCAAAAAATATCCTAGAAAAGAATGAAAGGTGTGATAAATGAATACTACAAATTAAATGAAAAGTTGTCTACAAATATAAGGGAAACTAGCTAGGATGTATAAGGGACTAAGGGCATATCATGTGGAACAAGGTCACCATTTCAGGTGGTGGAACTGTAAAGAAATTCCAAGCATTGGATGGAGAATGGGAAAGGGCTTACCAAAAGGTTAATAACACATCCTATGCTAATCATCTGAAACCGACCCACAAAAGAATCTGCCATTAAAGCTGCAACAACGGGAGTGATATTCGAAGCTGCATTCCACCAATAGAGCACATTCGAGCCAGTAGCCATATCCATTCGATACTCCCTCATCAGATACAGTATCATGTTGGGAGTTAACCCACAATTCGCCATCCCCATCAATGCCAGATTCCCTGTCCATTACCCCAATGTGGCAAGATAAATATATAATTCCAGTGGACAAGGTAATAAAACTAGCTACATGTAGCGTACAATATATTTAACTCATGACTTCTTCACTTTTAGAAGGCTCTCTAATTATTAAGATTACACCTTTATAAAAACTAACCACACCTTTTAGTCAGGCACATGTTTCAAAAGTATTCTATGATATTCAATTTTAATAGCTCCAAGATAGGTTCTTAATTTCACATTTACCAAATCCAGTCTCACAAGTCGAGACCAAACTTAAATAAACTTGACCAAACAAGAACATACTAGAATCGGTGTTCTACAAGGCGTGCCTAAGCCCCACCTTTTCCTGTCTTTTAGAACACAGACTAGAACTGATAAAATAAATTCAGAATAATGATGTTTTCGCTTGTATTTATTTCATTCTCAAACCACAGAAAAAAAAAATACACATACACAAAACATTTATCGGGCCGGATTTAAACAAACTAAACGTAAACAGACCAAATCAAATCAAACTATACCATGAATTTCAATCCAAGTGAAAACATCCTGAGATCTTAGATAATGGTGAGATACACATAAATAACACTACTAATAAAACAACATATAGTAACACAAAATTAATGTCAATTAAAGTTACACTAGTACATGGTAAACGTCACAAAAGGTCAGAGATTGTGACAACAAATTTAGTGTCACAGGTAGAGTGTCAATGATTTAAGACTGCAGTATCATAAAATATTATCACTAAATATTTTGACATGTTAGTATCAACTAAATATATGAAATATTGGTATCACCTATTGATGAATGAATATATATATATATATATATAGGGAGCGGTTCCAGTGAAAAAGGACTCCCAGGAGAGAAATGAGGATAAATCTAGACTGTTGGGTTGTATGATGTAAAATTGAACTGTGCATTGGGTGATACTGGAATGTGCATTAAGTGAAATTGCTAGGTGCAGAACAAAAAGAACTCAAATGTGCATTAGATGAAATTGAAATGTGCAGAATAAAAGACACAAAAGTTCCACCGCATCATAGCTTTTATTTTGCACATTTCAATTTCATTTAATGCACATTTTAGTGTCACATAATGCCAACGTGCCATACCTTTTGCGTTGCACATTTTGATTTCACTTAATGCACATTTCAGTTTTACGCGATGCACATTCAATTTCACAAAATACAATCTAATGGTCCAGATTGATTCTCATTTCTCCCCTCAGGTCACTTTCTCATTTAAACCTAATTTTTTATATATGTGTGTGTGTACAGAAAAGATCTTGTCCAGCCGGAGGGACATGATCCTCTATCCGGCTGCCGCCGTTTGGGGCAGTTTCTGGTGGAATTTTTTTGATGAAATTTTTTGAGCATGCTCCTCATCAAGTCTAGTTTATCCCCAAAACTTTCAGCTAAAAATTCGATCGGGTAGGCCGTCAAATCAATTTTTGAAAATAATTGTGTTTTACATGTATAATTTGGCACAGTTAACTTCAAAAATTTATTTGACTACCTTTCTGATCGAATTTTTAGCTGAATTGTTTTGTGGATAAACTAGACTTGATGAGAAACATGCTCAAAAAATTTTATCAAAAAATTCTACCGGGAACCAACCCAAAAGGCAGCGGCCGAACAGGGTTATGTCCCTCCGGCTGGACAGAATCATTCCTCTCTCTCTATATACACACACACACACATAATTTGGATTCACACGATCTGATCATATACTAAGTATACAAAAGGTGTTCAAAAATATTTAAATATCAGAATTTGAAATACCTGAATGGGATGAGCCTATATTACTTTCAACTACTAGCAGCTATATGTACAGAATAAAAAGAGAGGTACAAAATTATGGGGAGAGCTCTTTAGATAGAATAATTACATTCATGCATTACATAACTAAAGCACATTACTACTTAATCTGGTGTTTGGGTGATGTCATTTGGAGGAAGAGATAGCCTATTCTGCATCAGCTATTTGGCCGGAACCATGACTTTTGAGGAGCCTCAAGAATATGGCTGGGCCAATTTCATTCATGGATATACCACCACCTCTGGCATAGAAGAGAATATATTGGCCATTGAATGAATGTATTTTAGAGGTTACCCATAATCAGGACTAAGATGTTCGACCCTCTCCTCTGGGCATTTTCTTTGATGCATGGTCTTCAACGTCCTTCAACTGATAGTAGTGAGGAGCTATTTCTAACAACCATTCAGGCTTTACTTCAGTAACCTGTCGCATGTACTCTTTGGTTGTATGAACAATCTCATGATAGACAACACATCTAGGAAGAACCTGTGCTAGACCTGAACTGGGATGGATATAAACAGTCAAGGGAAGCTTAACAGTGATAACTTCCATTCTTTTGCAGCCTTGCTGAGTGGAGAAAAAATCCAGATGTAATGGACTTCTTTATAGCATCTAGATCATTGAGATTTGAAGTCAATTCAATTTCAACTCTTTCTAGAAGGCTCTCTAATTGGTCTCTGATGTCTCTAACTCTTTTCATGCTTCTGACCTGAATGTAGTTCTCATAGCACCACTGGGTTGAAAAGTTAGTTTCTTTCCATGAGTTGTAGACCTTCAGTAATGCAACATGATCTCCAACATTGCCCATTTGGAAATTCAACCTTGCATTGTCAGCATGCACTTGTTTGTCCTTTGGACGATAAAAGATCGAATTTCCAATAGACAGCATTGCTGCAATACTTATGATCACATCAGAGCATTTATACTTGTCAGAAGCAACAATCATCTTGGAGAGCATGGGGTCAAGAGGGAACTCCGCCATTCTTCTGCCAACTTTAGTCAGTTCACCATGCTTACTAAGAGCACTTAGAGCAAAGAGCACTTCCAGTGCTTTTAGTAGAGCTTCAATAGGTGGTGGATCCATAAAATTAAAGTTCAGCACGTCATGAATGCCCAGACTCTTAAGAGAAAGCACAACATTAGCCAGGTTGGTCCTTTGAATCTCTGGAACAGTATTATCCTCCAAATCATTTAAAAAGTTATAAGCAGTGTACAGCCGGAAACACTTCCCAGGCCCTGTTGACCTGTTCGTCCAGAACGGCCAGCCCATTGGTTAGCAGATGCTTTTGAAATAGGAGAGATATGTAATGATTCCATGCCGGTACGAGGGTTATATGTCTTCACCTTACAAAATCCAGGATCAATCAAGTATTTTATCCCATCAATAGTCAGTGAAGTCTCGGCAATATTTGTAGCAAGGACAACCTTGCGTGCCCTTTCAGGAGTAGCTTCAAAAATTTTGGCTTGTAGTTCTGTTGGAAGGTTTGCATATATTGGGCATATAATTAGCTCGGCTATTTTTGTTCCCAGGCCCTTGATCCTATGTTTAATGATCTCCTCAGCTGTCTCGATCTCCTCCTGCCCAGTTAAAAAAACTAATATATCACCATCACCAGGCGGTTGTGTCGCATGTATCTGAAGGGCAGTAACAATTGCTGCATCCAAATAATCTGCCTCGAGTGCTATAGTATAATGTATATCCCACTGGAAACCGCCTTCCAGGTATTTTAAAAATGGGAGCTTAATCAAAAAAGTCACTGAACTTCTCGGCATCAAGGGTAGCACTTGATATAAGCAACTTGAGGTCACGACGAGAACAGGCAATATCCTTAACCAAGCCAAAAAGGATATCAGTTGATAATGTTCTTTCATGTGCCTCATCCACCATGATTACACTGTAACTTGCCAAATCAGGTTCCCCAAGGAACTCACGCAATAACAATCCATCAGTCATATATTTTAGAACGGTCCTCTGAAGTACAATCTTCAAACCTGATTGAGTAGCCCACCTCATGTCCAAGTTTGACTCCCATTTCTTGTGAAACACGGGCAGAAACACTCATGACAGCAACTCGGCGTGGTTGCGTACATCCCACCTTGCCACTTTTGGTGTACCCTGCCTCATGCAAGTACTGAGGTATCTGAGTAGTCTTGCCAGAACCTGTCTCTCCTACAATGACTAGAACCTGGTGCTTATCGATAGCTTGCAGCAACTCATCACGATAAGGATAGATAGGCAAAGTTTTCCTGTCTGCTTGCAGTTTCTCAAATGCTGATTTAGCAACAGAAACTTCTAGTTCCTCAATGGAGGACTCATGATCAACATTAATGCCATCCATAACTGCTGCTTTTATGAACTCTATCTGGTCTTCAAACACAAATTGGTAATCATCATATTTTGCCTTGCGGTCTTTAGAACCAAATTTGAGAGTCGCTTTTCCTATTTGGTGATCCTCCCAAGCTTCTTGTTCAGCAAAAGGGTTCATCTTATCATTAGCATCAGGATCCCTGCAGCGTTGCAGTGCAACAGCAAACCTTTGCTCTTGATTTACACCGCCTTCAAGATCATATGCATCGGGAATCCTATACTCATTTTTGCCATCATCCTCCTCGGTCCGCTTCTTGATTAGATCATACAACTCCCTCTTGCACCTCATCTCTTTATATTCTGCTTTAGTTAGCTTCATCCCATCAAATAAGTACTGCTCGTCTTCTATCTCATCTCTGAGTTCATCTAATTTCTTTTGCTCTCTTTTCTTAAGATACTCTTGCCTTGAGATTTGCCTCAAAGTTCCAATCTCATCTAGCTCCGAAGCATTAGACCTCCTGATTGCCTCTTCTTCCTCCTTTCTGGATAACTTTTTATCAGTCAACTTTCTTGTTGATGCAGCATCTCTTTCTCTGATATGTCTCTCCAACTCTTCCCGCTCTTTTTTATCACGCAGTCTTTCCTCCTCTGACTCAGAACCACTATCACCACCATTATCCTGACCATCATCATTGGAAGTTCGTCTCCTTACTTGTCTTTCCTCTTCTACTTCTCTTATTTCTTCTTCATCTTCATCACCTTCAGAAACTGTCCTCCTTCTAAATCTCTTTCCATGGCCCTTCCTCCCAGTTTCTGAAGACACATGAGCATTGCTACGAACATCAACATCGTCATCACCGTCCTCTATTATTGTGTAGGTCTTTTGCTTCCTTGCAAACATCGCGGCCTCCCTTTCTGTATGTTGATATAGATTTGGTCCTGCTGCCTTGTGGCTCAACTCTAGAAAAAATTTCTTGTGCAAATTCCTTTGACTCATTGATGGTACTCCCACATCACTGAGCATGCTAGAAAGCTCGTTAGGAGAGGAAGCTTTCTTAGCTTATCCAATTACATAATTCACAAGTGTGCTTTGGGAATAACCCAAAACCGATATGAGAGTATCTGATACCCACTTTTTCAAATCACTTCCCATTGTACGCAACAGCTGAGTAAACGCTTTCCTTTTTATCCTGATTTATCGGTATGGATTAGGCTTGAAGACGCACCCAAATTGGGAAGATTGTCTGAAGTGCTGAGCTCCAAAGGGGTGAAAAAAGTAGAAACGAAGCAGAGTCCTGAAACAAATCTGACCTCATATAAGAATTCGCCGAGCACAGCAGATGACACCGGAGTCCAAGATGGCCGGGTCGCCGAACACAGGAGATAATGCTGAAGTCCAAGACGTTCGGGTCACCATACGGCGCCTGGTAGCCGCGGAGATGAAATTTGTTGCTTCGCGAGGAGATGAAGCTGAGTCGCGGGTTGATTAGCGGAAGAAGGGGTGCGGCGCACAAGATGGGACCTGGTTTTACTTTGTCTAGTTTGGATCCTTTGAGCCGTCAGATCTATTTTGTCGAATATAGGCCGATGGAGTCCTAGATGGGCCGAGCATACTACGTATTTTTTGAATAAGCCTTTCGGTATGAAAAGGTATTGCGAAATATTCTGTCTCTTGACTTTGCTAAGTGCAAAGTAGGTGAGGAATAAGAAAAATAAAAATTGTATGTGATGGGATTATGGGACTAGCCTTAGAGCCTAATTGGTCCAGGCCTCGAACTTGGACCAGCAGGCCCAAGCCCAGCAACCCAGAGCTTGAGTCAGCCCAATCGATCAGGCCTGTAGATCAACCCAGCGGGGAGCCTGCTCTCCATCCCGGCCAGCGGGGAGCCTGCCTTCCAATCCAGAGGGGAGCCTGCCTTCCAGCCTAGCCAGGAGCCTGCCGACCAGCCCAGCTGGGAGCCTGCGGTCCAGCCCAGGTAGGAGCCTGCGGTCCAGCCCAACAGGGATCCTGCCTTCCAGCCTACCCGGGAGCCTGTCTCCAGCCCGGTCAGAAGCCTTCCTCCAGCCTAGCGGGGAACCCACCGTCCAATCCAGCATGAGGGAGCTCAAGCGTCCAGCCTGCCAGCCAGGAACTATAACGGCCAAAATAATTAATGCGTGACTTAATTATGTATTTAATTCCATATTAATGTTGTAATTAGTTAGCCATTAGTATCTTTGGCAATTACCATTTGTAATCGCCTATAAAAGGCAAGTTCGAGTCAAATAATAGATATGCTATTTCTGACTACCAAATCCCCTTGCAACTTTCCTTATTCATATTACTTTCTTGATTCCCGCTTGATTGTCGTACGTAGCTTTCCTAAAAGCCTACGAGCGTCCTATTTTGGACAAACAGTATGGTTGAGATTTATACAGATGAGAGAAATGTGCTTTTTATGATCTATGTGTCAATGTTGTGCTTTTATAATCTTGAAGTCTATGAACTCTATTGAAAGTCTCTACTCTTGTCTTCCCCCCTGTTGTATCCTGCTTCATTTCACTTAGTTTTATGATTTATGTGTCAGTGTTGTGCTTTCATGATCTTGAAGTCTATGAAATCTATTGAAAGTCTCTACTCTTGTCTTCCCCTGTTGTATTCTGCTTCTTTTCACTTAGTTTTATGATATATGTGACAGTGTTGTGCTGTTTTCATAATCTTGAAGACTATGAACTCTATTAAGTCTTCAGAAGGAAAATCCTTTTTTGATCACTCCCCTAAATGCTTCATGTAAGGCTACACGGGGACATAGGGTGTATAGGACAGATAAGTGAAATGACCTTAAAAGATAAATGTCAACATAGATGTATGTAACGTCACCTGGAAGACTCGTTATAAGAATTTGGTGTTCCAAAGAGCAAATGTGAACTTTACCCCGCAAGCACGTAAAGTGCACCCACTGAAGGACAATTTGAGTGTGATTTGACTACCTTACCCACCACAAAGAGAGGGTAAAATAGCCTTAAATGTCATTGCTTAACTTTTACCGCCCCTAACAGATCTCAATGTAAAAACGTGAATAATGCAGTGGCGCGAGAGATAACCAATTAAAAAATAACGAATAGAATATTATATCTTTATTTGAACGGTCCTATATCTTTTTGATAAGCTTTTCTCTACAATGTCAAATAAAATGTCTTTTTGTTTAGATGTAGACATTGTGGTTGACATTGTTGAGAAAAACTTACCAAAAACACACAAAACCGTGCATACCGTAGCATTTCAGATGTCTACATCTCTAAATCAACTAAACGATCATATTAACAAACAAAATAGGAACTAATACCTACTACCTACCTCTATTATCTGGATTTGGAAAAAAACAAACAGAAACTGCATGATCATGAATTCACAAGAACAAAATGATCTCTGCCGCCCATCTCTCAATTAATTTAGCCATAAAAATTTGAGTATGAAACTTAAGATTTGAGTTTCATTCTAAAATCAGTCTTACAATTAGTAGAAGCAGTCCAAACCTTTATACGTTAGTTTGTATCTTTAAACAGAGCATTTGATGAATTGGGGAACATTTAATACAAACAAATTATACAGCTATAAAAATCAACAAGAATTGATCGATTAATCATGAAGAAGAAGAAGAATTGAGTGCAATAATATGAATTACCAGCAATGAAGGGCATGGTTCTGAAGCCACCTTGTGGGGCGGGAGAAGATTCCAGGAGGGGCTCTTTCTCTTCCTCCGCCATTTTCTTTACCTTTTCGTCTGATGAACAAAATCCCATTAGTCCCATACCACCGAAGTTCAGAGTTATTCCTTTCTGGAAATATGCACTGACTTCAAGAAGCTGAGGAGAAGAAGACAGAGAGAGTGGGGGAAGTGGAAAGGATTAGCACATTATATTATCGTAGCGTGTCAGCATGCACCTAAGACGAGCATGTGTCCTCCGCATGAACTTATCAAAACATGCGTTTATTTTTTATAGAAAAGTTGTATCGGTATAATTAAGATTTAAGGGGAGCTCGTTTAGAAAAAGACAGCGATTATGTGTGCACATATATGCGAGTGTACAAAATGTGTATATTTTGGCATGTTTAGATAAAATGAAAAATGTCTTCGATAAATAGTTGTTCGACCCTAGCGTTTTTGGATTGAATCGTTGAAATGGAAACGCTGCAAATATGAGAGTTTTGGGTTAGCGTTTTGAAAAATGACGTTTCTATTATTTTTTATGGTCAAACAGCTAAATTATCAAATAACTTTTGGCAACCCGCCAACTTATTCCGTCGGTCGAACTCGTTTACTGAATCCGCTATTGACAACCCGCAAACATAACTCGTTATCCGCTAACCGTTAACCGTTATATGCCAAACACGCTCTTTGTGTAACAAAGAATGGTCGATATTTTTATATACTCACTCCGTACAATTATATTCCATGTTAATTTTTTCGTTCTTCTAAAAAATAATCTCTCTTTTCTTTTTTTTGACAACAATTTGTGATTCACAGTATTTCTCACATTTTTACACTTTTATGTTTCCTCTACAAAAATCTTCATCATAAAATTCTTACTTTCTTAATGCAGGTGCAAAATCTCATTTTGGAAGATAAATGAGGGATGGAGATCGAGAATATATGAGTAGTAACTAGTAAGTAGAGTGTTTAATGTATAAAATAATAATTTTCGTACCATATCTAATCTGCAATACAAAGTCAAGTAATTATGTGACTTTGGAAGCGGATCGGTTTGATGGCAGGTTTCCTAATCTACGGCACACCTCTTTGCCGTTTAGTTTGTTGTCTCCACCGGTACGAAACGCACTAATTTATGTCCCTTCAAACAGAATCGTACCCATTTGTTTGTCTACTCTGGCTTTTGACTGCTACTTAATTCACTTTTTGAACTGGATTTTCACTTACTCAGTCCTTAGAATTAGGAGCTGACCCACAAAAATCATTTTGGAGTTTGAAAATATTTTGAGAATATTACTCGAAATAGAACTAAAACAGTTTAAAAATTTCAAAATACGACTGTCATGTTTTTATTCCCAAAATAGGACTAATTACTGACATGTTTTGGCAGTACCAGACTTCAAACATGGCAATATTTTCTAAACATAGCAGTAATTAGTCCTATTTTGGGAATAAAATACATGAAAGACCTATTTTGGAATATTCAAAGTGTTTTGGTCCTATTTTGAGAACTTTCCCAAATATTTTTCAAGAGGTTCAAAATATTTTTTGAGAGGGAGAAAATTATTTTTCATATATATATATATATATATACGCTACAAACAATTATTGGGTGGTTGTAATCTCTGGGTCTCTACTACCGTCCGCCCATGTTTAAGTAGGAATATCTAGATGTCGCTCCCCTTCCCATGTTTTTCTTTAGGTCATCCAAAGTTTTCTTCAAATTTAGTTTTCTTTTTGACGAAATAATGAACAAGTAATGCTAGATCTTCTATTCGAAAGAATCTCAAACACTTCATGTTTTGTTAATATAAAACATTAAAATACAAAGATCAAGAACCAATTCAAGGGGACAAAGGTGTGAGAGAGTATTACGAAATAATAACTCATATTTTCTTTTACTACGGGGTATTACACTTCAATAAGTGTGGAAAGAATTACGCGCAAATCCTTTTGTAAATTTCAAAACGCGTAGACAATAAATTTAAGGAAAAATTTGATAGTAATAATCCCAATTATTGTCAGTCCGCTCATAATAATATCAACTATCGATTATTTCAGAATAATCCCAACTTTAGGTACCTTTCGCTAATAATGGTCCGATGTGACCGGCTATAAATAAATTCTAAAGTGAATGAGAAGAGATAACAAGTAATCCCCATAAATAATCTCAACTTTTAATTTTTACGCTCAAGTTCTATTTAAAATTCACTTGTTATAGGATGTAATATCTAGTCATGGACCATTAATGCCGGACGGTCTATATAGTTGGGATTATACAAAAATAATCAATAGTTGGGATTATTGTTAGCGGACCGTCAATAGTTGGGATTATTATTTCCAGTTTTTCCTAAATTTAGGATCGATGGTAATTCTCAAAATATGACCATTATTTTCCAAACCATGACTATGGAACGAAATACGAAAAAAGGCAAAATTCTCCAACTGAGATTAAATGAAACTTATATTTCAACGGGTATTAGCTCTAAATAGGAGTAAAATTAGCCCAAAATTCAACATTAGAAGTACAATCCTTTTATTCCCAAAATATGACTAATATATATCTCTTCTTCTCATTCTACCCTCTTCCTATAATTTCCAATAGATTTATTTTATTAATAAGAAAATCATAGTTTTATTTATAAAAAATATAAAAAATAATAAAATATTTATAAAATAATAATGAAAACGTGAAAAAATAAAATAAAAAATAAAAAAATTAACAATAATAAATAAATTATTTAAAAAAATTTAAAAAGTCCAAAAAATAAAATAAAATACCTAAAAATATTTAAAAAATATGTACGTCACTGCCAACGCGCCCTCTACCTCCCAGCACC